GCTTAACCATCTGAGCCACCCAGGCGCCCCTCTTAGTTACTATTTTAACAGGTCAAGAGGAGGAATTTTAGGGGCACCTGGGTGGCTCAGTTGGTTAGGCATCTGCTCAGGTCATGATCCCCGGGGTCCTGGGATAGAGCCCCACATCGGGCTCCCTGCTCAGCGGGGAGTCAGTTTCTCCCTCTCCCTCTGCCCCTCCCCACCGGCTTGTGATCTCTCTCTCACAAATAAATAAGTTTTCAAAAAAAAAAAGAAAAAAGGAGGAAATTTATCTTAGGCATCCCGGCAGATTTCAGAGAGAGAGAGGCACCATTCCAGAGTCAGAATCAAAGGTGGGCGAAGATACTGGAAAATGAAAACACCTGAGTGATAACAAGGTCTGAAAACCACCATGAGAACGGTAAATTGGAGCACACATAGGACAGATGACAATACGGAGTGGGAGGAAGAAGGAAGATGGGATGAGGCTGACGGGCTGCTACTGTTCACTGCTCACTATGTGCCAGGCTCGGTGCGTGTGTAATTTGTATCAACTTAACCAATCTCCACAATGACAGCCCTTAATAATATCCCCACCTTACAGGTGAGGTAATGAGCTTAGACGTGGGCAGGTAACTTGCCTGAAGTCAGAGGGCAGAGATCTGAGCCCAGATCTCTCTGACTTCTTCACCACATGCTTCAGGGCCCTCAGCCCCTGTTTTGTGGAGCTGCCCCTTACTTCTGCAGTAAGAAGTGGTGGGAAAAGCACTAGGCTTGAGGTCACTCGATCCCAGTCCCACATGGAGGCTCTAACGTGCCCATCTGGCCTCAAAAGGCAGCACAGAGCACACGGGCACTCGGATCCTCACCTCACGGTGCCACTGAATAACACTGGCTCTTGAGGAATAATGGACAGCTTGCTTCGGAGGTCAGCAAGGCCAATATCACTGATTCTCACTCCGTCGATCTTGATGCAGCCTCCAGATAACTCCACCAGACGGAAGAGGGCCATCCCCAGAGAGGACTTCCCTGAGGAGTCAAAAGACATGCAGAAAAGCAGCTCAATTAGCAAATTTCATGAAGACAAAAACTGGTTTAATCCCCCCAACCTCTGGGCAAAATGATCTATTTTTCTAGTTCTCTTCAATTATTATTTCATCTGATTAAGATAATGTAGAAAGTGATAGCCAGAAACAGAAAAAAATGCACTTTCCTGAGCTACAAGTATATACATTTAAATCACACAGCTTCAGCCTGAGAAGGAGTTTGAGGTACTACCAGGTACTCTTATTTTCATGAGAATAAATTAGAAAAATGCCTGTGTTTCACCTTAGGAGTGGGTACACGGGCTTTCACGCATCTCAGGCAAAGTGAGGAGAACAGAGTTCTTACAGCAAGGGGCTAGTGGCAAACCAGAGGACAAGATGTTTTCTCTCTCTTCTGTCCCTTTATCGTAGGTGAGAGAGAAACAAGACAAGACCGCCCACCATCCTGGGGTAAACACACAGGGAAGGAGTAAATAAGTGGCTGCAGATGACTCTACCATGATAAGGAACTGTGACAGAAGAGCAGGTCTGAGGGGCGCCTGGGTGGCTCAGTCGGTTGAGCACCTGCCTTCAGCTCAGGTGGTGATCCTAGGGTCCTGGGATCGAACCCCGCATCCAGCTCCCTGCTCAGTGGGAAGCCTGTTTCTCCCTCTGCCTCTCCCCCATGCTCTCTCTCTCTCTCAAATAAATAAATAAAATCTTAAAAAAAAAAAAAAAAAGGAATCACCATACTGTTAAAAAAAAAATAGATCAAGTTGTTCCACTTTAACAAAAGATGCTACCTGGACTAGAAGATTTCATAGTTCTCTGGATCTAGACTACCTTCGCACTGACGGGATGTGCTACTAAAAGAGGCCATGAAGTCCTCGCAGTGATGTCCTTGACTAGGGCCATGGCAGAGTCAGGGTCTACGAGTCGCTGAAGAAGCTTGTTCGGATTAGTTTAGACTTTGTAAGTCAGGCTATTTATAATTACTTTATTTTTTCTTATTTTTTTCCTGTCACTACTTATGGTTTAAGTCTTTTTTTTTTTTTTAAGATTTTATTTATTTATTTATTTGAGAGAGAGCATGAGAGGGGGAAGGAGCAGAGACAGAGGGACAAGCAGACTCCACACTGAGCGTGGACGCAGCGCTCAATCCCACGACCCTGAGATCATGGCCTGAGCCGAAACCAAGAGTCGGATGCTCAACTGACTGAGCCACCCAGGCGTCCCTGGTTTAATAAAGTCTTAATGAATAGTTCAGTCTGTCCCACCTGTATTAAGGATTAAGGAGAATCACAGGAGGGGACATCAGTCAGAGCCTTCAGGACATCAGTCAGAGCTCCCAGTGTACCCCTGGGAGCCCATGTAGCAGAGGGAATTTGAGGGAGAAAGCAAAGGAAGAGCTTTGGGGACAGCCACCCTCCTTGGCTGAACATTCTCCTTGCAGCGTAAAAAACCTACAGACAGTGTACTATTCTGACATGAAATAATTCCTTCAAATAGGAAGCAGGAAATGGCTTTTTCTTCTCTTCTTAGCAGGTTCTTTCAAGTAAATTGGCCAGAAAAGACACAAGGTTTTTGTTTTGTTTTGTTTTTAATGGAAAGAAACAAAGCGAGAAGAGTTTTGACGCCAAGGAAGCATGGAGCCCCCAGAGCTGATGAGAAGTGAACCAGAGAGACTTCTTATACCAGGTAAACCAGTTAGTAAATGAAAACAAGCCTCAATCTTTGAAATGTTACTGGGGAAGGAAAGAGGGAAAGAAATGAATTACTCAAGTCTTGACCCTAGAAATCTAAAGAAGTAATATGATTCTAAGTGTGAAGTAAAATGCCTAAATGAGAGCCAATTCTCTATTTCTTTGCAACTGATGTCAGATCAAGAAAATAATTTCTGTCTTCAAAGAACACAGGTTTCTTATTTAGAGCTACGTTAGCATCTGATAAATACAAGGCAACACTGGCATTATGTCACAGACGACTTAAATGTTTTGTGTGTTTTGACCTCACGGAAATAAGGATATTCACTGCAGTACTATTCATAATAGTGAAAAATCGACAACAACCTCAATGCCCTACAATTGGAGACTGGTTAAATATAAATTATGATACATCCATAAAATGGAATTTTATATCCTGCTGAACAGAATTCATGTCACAAGCTATTAATTGACATGGAAAAATATTTGGTAGATTTAAAGGCAGGCCATGAGACGGTGTGTGTAAAATGACCCCATTTTCATAAACATATTTGCTGATAGAAAAAGCCTGACAAGGGGCACCTCGGTGGTTTAGTCGGTTGGGCGTCTGCCTTTGGCTCGGGTCATGATCTCAGGATCCTGGGATAGAGTCCCACGTTGGGTTCCCTGCTCAGCACAGAGTCTGCTTCTCCCTCGCCCTCTGCCCCTCCCCCCACTTCTGCACGCACGCGTGCTCTCTCACTCTCTCTCTCTCAAATAAATAAATAAATAAAATCTTAAAAAAAAAAAAAAAGCCTGACAAGATACCTACTAAAATATTAACAGTAATTATCTCTAGATAGTGGAGTTTGTACTTCGTATATACTCCAAGTGTTCTGCATTGAGAATGTATACTTTTATGATCAGAAAAAGCACTAAGTGTTAAAAAAGCAGGGTTGAGAATACACTGAGAAAATTGGCTTCAGAGAGACCTTACTCATCACTCATTAATATGGAGCTGGTTTGAAGGGATGAGAGTGATAGTCAATAAACAGCAAATCATGGGCCCCACACTTTTAACTCCGATAGATTCAAATGTTTCTCCAGAGGCCTTGACTCGCTCTTACCTGATCCAGTCCGCCCCACGATGCCAATCTTCTCCTTGGGTTTGATGGTGAAGGACACCTTCTTCAGAACCAGAGGCAGATTTTCTTGGTACCTCATCTCTGCATTCTCAAAGGTCACCTCTCCTTCCTGGGGCCAGTCAGGGGAGGGAGCCTTGTTCTTAATTCTGGCAGGTGCTTCCAAAGAGAGAGTCTGGGGAGACAGGAGTGGCTGGGTCAGACTGACCAGCTTCTGTGGGAGCTGCGAGGCTTTCAAAGAGAAGTAAACGCCAGACAACCACAGCAGTCATACAGAAGCAGCTGCTCCCTCTTCCCTTCCCATGGAAGATGCCCTTGGCAGCACATGCTTATTACCACTAAACCAGACAGAGTGCGATGGTGACTAACTTCACACTTAGCCATTTACAACGGCCACGAAGCAGCATGGGGGGGGGGGGGCGGGGGGCAGTGGCCTTCCAACTGTTTTTTGTCTTAGGGAACTTCTCCACAAAACTGCCTTGGAGGCCAAGGGTGGGGCATGAGGCCTTCCACGGCTCTTCAAACACAGCCCTTTTTATTGGAATTCTTTCACAATATTCTACTTGAAACAAGATTCCACCATTTGAAAGCCAATCGCCCAAACCCAAAGGAAGGCAACTACCATTTCCTGAACATTTCATCAGATCCTGGCATTCGGACGTATCAGTCACCCCAGGAGACATGGGCTCGAAGCTCAATCTGCCCCCAATCGTGATGTGACCTGGATATATCACTTCTTCACTCTAGGTCTTAGTTTCTCATCTGCAAGTCGTGGGGACTGGATGAGAGAATCGTGGAAATCCATTCAGCTTTAAAAATGCTGTGTAACTGCTTGGGTAATTTTTGTTACCAACAGTCCCACCTTGCAATGTTTGAAAATTCTCTGGCAACTAGTCACGGGACTTTACGGCCTCCTAGGGAAGTGAAAGCCAACAGCTGTGGAGCTCTGGGCAGGGATGGGGGTGGGGCTGGGAGGGCAGGTGGAGACTGACATCTTGAACTCCAAGCTGGAAGGGCTCCGTGTTGGCAGAGGCATCCAGGTTGGGCACTGGCAGTGGGAGCCAGTCCTCAGAAATGTGACTGGTTTGTGCAGGGTCCACTCTACCATGACTGACCATCACCGTGACCTTTTTAGCAAGAGACTCTCACCAACAGCAATTTTTTTTTTTTAAAGATTTTTATTTATTTATTTGAGAGAGAGCATGAGAGGGAAGAGGGTCAGAGGGAGAAGCAGACTCCCCACTGAGCAGGGAGCCCGATGTGGGACTCGATCCAGGGACTCCAGGATCATGACCTGAGCCGAAGGCAGTCGCTTAACCAACTGAGCCACCCAGGCGCCCCACCAACAGCAATTTTAAATCAAACACTACACACCCAGATACTGTCCCCAGACATGAGCACTGGGCAAAGAACCCAATGGATAAATGAAAGGAACAGCTATTAGCAGATATTTATCTGCCATAGATAGCTATCTGCCATTCTTTCTGAGAATAATAATGTATAAGTTTAAGAAATATCCTACACTTAATGAGGTTCATTGTCAAAACAGTTCAGGAAAGCATGTCTGCTGGAAAATGCAATTTACATAATATGCTAGTTCTCAACTGAAAGGGTAGTTTTTCAAAATTATGTTTTAAGTCAATTATCTGGAAATTGAGATATATTCTTCCCACATAAACCATGATATAAATGCTGATAAAGTCTCTGGGCAGTTCCCAAAATAGGTAACTTCTCTGAACTGAGTTAAATTTGAGAGTCTTAACTACTTGTGACTCTGCTTCTCTCTATAGAAAACTGCTTTCAGCGTCCCAGCTGGGACATGCTCCGGCCGCAAGACGCTGCCCTGAGGTAGCACTGAAGGGTTACTGAGGGAAGGCAGGAAGAGTCAGTTCATCTCAGTATCAACAAAATTAAACTGGTTTCTAAACTAGGAATGCAGTTTAGAATTAGCCACGGAGCTTCTAAAATGTCAGAAGCCTGGGGCTCACCCCAGATCGACTGTATCAGAATCTCCAGAGATGAGGCCTGCGTCTGTCTCTGCCTAAAGCTCAGCAGGGATACCAACCGCCATCCCTGGTTAAGAACAAGTGAACTAGGGTCGCCTGGGTGGCTCAGTCGTTAAGCGTCTGCCTTTGGCTCAGGTCATGGTTCCAGGGTCCTGGGATCGAACCCCGCATTGGGCTCCCTGCTCAGCGGGAAGCCTGCTTCTCCCTCTCCCGCTCCCCCTGCTTGTGTTCCCTCTCTCGCTGTGTCTCTCTTTGCCAAATAAATAAATAAAATCTTAAAAAAAAAAAAAAAAACAAGTAAACTAGAATAAGATTTAAAACACTCCATGGTTTTAAACACTGTAAGGAAAATGACCTACATTCTTAATCAGACGCAATTCACAAAAACATTTAGAACCTCTTAGGATAATCTCTTCTCCACTCCACACAGACTGAAGAGACTGCTGGTCCTCGCCTGTGAGAAACAAGCATCCTCCTTGCACCACCACCCGAGGCAGCAAAAGGGTAAAAGGGTCATGAAGAAAGGCTTTCGCGTCCTGACCTGGATGTAGTGGTTGATCCTCTCCACTGAGGTGAAGCGGGCTTCTGTCTCGGATGCCAGTCTGACGGTAAACTGGAACAGGCCGGTTAACTGATAATGGAAGGCAAAATCCAAGAAGGAATTCATTATGAATACATGTCAGGCCAACGCCAGAAAACGTCTTCCAGCTAGGGGATTACAGTTCAATATACCAACGAACCGGGCACCGGCAGCAGCTGGTTTTACGGACCGAGTCATTCTCTAAATGTTTAACATGATGCCTACTATCCCCCAGTCCATTGCAATTCTCAACAAAGGCAGGTGGCATTGTGGGACGGCTGGCGCTGAGTTCCCTGCAGCCAAAGGCTTTCCATCCATTTTCACATTTCCAGCACACACATCCTCAGCTGAGTAACTTCCGGGCTTCCTGCCGAGCAGCCTGCACCTGCTCTGGCAGTCACAACAAATGGAGATCTATATCACCCTGTGAGCCGCTGGTGAGAATGCAGAGCCCCCTGGGCACCTCACACTGAGGATCCTGAACCACAGTACTTAGAACACCTATTCTCCCCCTGATGATCAAGTAAGTCCGTATAACATGGACAGGCATCTTTGAGAATCTGTGAAGATACATTAGCTCTTCTTGGTTTTGTTTCCCTACTTATTTGTTTTGACCTTTCTGACATGGAAAAAATGTCAAACATATACAAGAGTAGAAAGGGCAGTATAATGAACTCCCATGTCCTTAAAAACCTGCCAACTTATAGATAACATTGTTTCATCCATACCACACCACCCATCTGCATTATGTGAAAGCAAATCCCAGACATCCTATCCGTTCATTCTTAAATAATTTAGCTTGTATCTAACACATAAAGACTCTTTAAAAACACAATACCATTGTCCAACACCATGATGACATCTAAAAAATTAGTAATAATTCCTTAACATCTACAAATACTTAGTGCTCAAGTTCCCAACTGTTCTCTGAGCTATTTAAAGACCTTAAACCATCCCTAGGGGCCGGGTCTACATATGTAACAGTTTTGGGAAAATCAGGGGCCTGAAAATAAAATGCATGTAAGAAGCATATTGAGGACACAGTATTTCTTAGAAGACCAGGAAGACGCCAGAAACGAGAGGGTGGTGAACGTAGAAACCTGTAATTAAGAAACCATTTTCAAAATCGTGTTTTTTTATAAATAAATGGCACCTATTTCTTCAACATGTGCAACAGACTTAAATCCCTTTGTTCCTATATAACACACGTACCTCTCTCCCATCCTCTCCACCCCAGCCAAGTCCAGGCTGTTACTAAGAAAGTAGGTGGGCAGAAGCTCTAGGAGTCTCAAAGGCTGAGGGAGAGCCCCCTACCATGCCTCTCCTAGGCCAACACAGAACTCACGTGAGCAAAGGTAATGCTCCATCCCTGAGACTGACCTGGACGGCATAGGAGATGGCAAGACCCGAGTAGGCGGGGGGAATCTGCCCGTGCATGAGAACAATCATCAGCCCAGTGGTGGTGATCAGGGCAATGCTGATCAGGTCCAGCCGCACAGCCAGCCACCGCATTGCACATGTGAACAAGAAGAAAGGACCTTGGTTGTTATCCAGGAGCTCCTGGTACCTGTGAGGGCGAGAGGGCGACAGAACACCTAATAGGCAAACAAAGTACCACACCATCCTGAGAGCGGGTGATGTCAGAGCTCTGGTGAATTATGGGGAGGACTAACTTTTAAGTACTTCCTGTTTGTCCCTAGGAGAAGGATATGGAAATCTAAGGGCTGCAGAGTATTCCAGGCTCTGCACATAGAACAACTTGGGGTTTTCTAGTTTTATTCTTTCAAAGAAACATGTTCAAGACATTAGGGAAAAATACGTATGTTAATGACAGAACAAATGCACAGGGAAAGGAGACCAAATAAAGAGGCTGGTTAAGCTCCAGAAAAATGTCTTAGGTCAGGGGTCCCTTCCTCAAAGAGACAGGCTACATAGGCAAACTGCAGAAATGCACTAAGACCTGGAAAGATAAACTCGCAGACTTAAAGTGGGAAAGTGGAAAATGTCTGCTGACACACTGCTGTTGGGCAAAATGGTACTTGTTTCCAAGGCCGTGGAGCAGAAGCAGGAAGTAAACCACAGCAAAAAAGACCTGGACAACCTCTGCCATTTAAGGAGCGAGACACTACTGTCCCCAGGGGTCCTAGAGAGATCAGACCCCATCCAAAGGCTCAGGTGTCACATACACATACAATTAGAACGCCTGAGCAGGAAGTCTTGCCAAGCAAATGTGCTTTGCTTTAAAAAAAAAAAATCACTTTTCCTCTTTATGTAAGATATTTGGAGAAAAATTAGGAAATGCAGTAAAGAAGAAAATGCAGTGTTCTCACCACTCAGTTAAAACCAGGGTTAATAGTCTGCTGGATCTTCTTCCAGCATTTTTTCCAATATAGTTAAATGTAGGTATGTATGTATGTATGTACATACACATGCATGGAGCGTATTTTACTGTTCTTCTCTTAAAGTGATGATTATTTTTCTGGGTCATTTAACCTAAACTTTCTTCTTTATTTAAATTTAATCATTAACATATAATGCATTAGTTTCTGAGGTAGAGTTCAGTGATTCATCAGTTGCATATAACACCCAGTACTCATTGTATCACGTGCCCTCCTTGATGTCCATCACCCAGTTTTCCCATCGCCCCCACCCCTCTCCCCTCCAGCAACCCACAGTTTTTTACCTATGGTTAAGAGTCTCTTGTGGTTTGTCTCCCTCTCTGATTTCGTCTTATTTTATTTTTTCCTCTCTTCCCTTATATACATCTGTTTTGTTTCTTAAATTCCACATATGAGTGAGATCCTATAATTGTCTTTCTCTGGTTGACTTATTTTGCTTAGCATAATACCCTCTAGTTCCAGCCACATCATTGCAAATGGCAAGATTTCATTCTTTTTGATGGCTGAGTAGTATT